GTATTCTGTTCTGCCCTCCAGCTCCTGGAGGGCTCAGCCCACGCAGTGCGGCCACCAGAGGGGACCCATGTGCAGAGTGGCAGGCGGAGCAGCCCTCCCAGGGCAGCGGGATGCCCACCTGGCCCCAGAGCCCTCGCTCAGCACCCCCCTCCCCCTGCTGACGGGGAACCAGGTGTGGTCCCCCAGCCCAGCTGCCTGCCTTGGGGGGCGGCAGAGGCTGTCGCCCTCTGCTGGCCGGTTTCAGTTCCTGCAGAAGGTGGAGTCCTCCTTCCCCTGACCAGTGTCCAGGGAGCCAGCCCAGCCCATCCTTCCCATTGCACAGTCCCTGCCAGGCCTGGCGAGGCCCTCGGCGGGATGGAGGGGTGTTGGACGGGGAGCCGGGAGGGCTCCCAGCTGATGCGTGTGGCTCCGGGGCCCCTGTGTCACCGTTTACCCTGCAGACAGGTTGCGGGAGTTCAGAAGAGACAGCCCCGCAGAAAGGCTTTTGCTCAGGGGCTGGAGGCCCCGCCCCTTTCCTCTGCTGCCCCCAGGGAAGGGCAGGCTCCTGTTGGGGGGGAGGCGAGGCCCTCTTGGTTCCCTGAGCTGGAGACGGGCCCTTTGTTTCCTTGGGAGGGAAACTGAGGCACCGGGAGGCCGAGGGACGTTCTCTTGGTCTGTGGGCCCCGCGCTGTCCACGCTGGTGACCTGCAGCACCCAGGTCCAAGCTGTCCCCTCTCCTGCCCTCCCTCCCGGGCCCTGACCTGCCCTCGACCTCCTGCTCCTGTCCCAGCGCTGGTGAAGGGGCGGCGCCCTCGGCGCAGTGAGTGGACGGGAATGAATGATGCTCGAACCCCTAACCGCAGAGGCCACCGGGGCTCTGCTGGGAGTGCCATCCTGGGATGGGCCAGCACCAGCCGGTCCTCCTGCTGCCCTGGGGGCACCTGGTCTCGGGGCCTGGTCCCAGCCCTTCCCTTCCCTCTGACTCGTCGTGGTGTTTCTAATGTGCCCTTTAATGGGTCTGTTTTTAAAAATATATATTTTTATTGATTTCAGAGAGGAAGGGGGAGAGAGAGGAGAAACATCAATGGCGAGAGCATCACCTGCCTCCTGCACGGGCCACAGACGGGATGGAGCCCACGACCCGGACACGTGCCCACGGGAACTGAATGGTGACCTCCTGGCTCATAGGTCGGAGCTCTGTGGCCTCTCCAGGCAGAATGCCAACCGGCCGTCTCCCGTGTTGAAGCCCGGGGTGCGGGCGCAGCGACCTCGACCTCGGGGAGAGAGGGGGGGTGTCCAGCTGGGCCTGGTCCCGGTGGTGACGTCAGCATCAGGCGGCCATTCTGAAGGGTTTGTGGGGATGGCGTGGGGGCCCCCGCTAGCGCCCCTCCTGCCCACACCTGGAG